AAAAAAACTGCACCCGCCAGTGCAGGTAGTGGCAGTGGCCCAAGATTTCGCCCAAACCTTTGCTTCTAACATCTCCGGCGCGCAGGGAGCTACCGCGCCATCAAGTTGCTGCGCGGCAAGGATACCAGGGGGAAGTCATGTGTCGATACATGCGCTGCGCCCCTCAACGACTACACGTCAGACATCCCTGCTTGGGATGATGATATATATTTAATGCAGTTAATTTGAACTTAGTAATTTTTTGTAAATATTTTGATTCTTCTGCAATTATAGGTAATTTATTTGGACTATTTATCATTGCAATTGCTGCAGCAGAAGCAGCAATGAGTGGTCAAGCCTCGATAATCATCACTTAGTCAAATGACAGCCGGCCGCAACGTACCTCACCTGCAACTATCTGCAAATATCTGAAACTATCTCGTGCCGTCTGTGGTGTCAGGGTGCCAATAATAGGTGAAGTGGAGTGAAACCAACATGATTTAGTCCTTTTGGTGCTGCGAGAGTCCACAGCACGTCACAGATGTTCGTTTTCCGCTAGTCTAAGAGTTCAGCATACGAGATGCTAGGTATCCACCAAGAAAGGAACAAGACGTATGATGAGAGGGCAGAGGCCGTCCAGGCCAAATCCTCGCTCTTCGTCGTACTGACAGACCGCTGTTCGATTGCTTTAGAATCTAGACTTTAGAGCAATCCTGCTGCTGCTGCATTGTCCTCCGAATTCAAGTCCTAACCTAATTTGACAAATTGACACCTAATTTAAGCCGACTGAGCGGCAGTCTGCTCTGCAAAGAAGTAAAATAGACAAGGACTTAAAAGTCTAAAACGAATGCAAAACACGGAGTGAGGGGCTGCATTTTCCCATCCATTCCATGTCATTTTCGACCTCCGGAACACGGTGGGTGCCGAATCTGACCTGCCAGAAGGACCAGATGCACTCCATTGAATTCCACTATCGTCGGCAGGGCTATTCGTCCAGCACTCTCAAGGTGATGATAGCTGGAACACAGTGGGTGCCGAATCTGACCTGCCGGAAGGACCAGATGCACTCCACTGGATTCCACTATCTGACCTGCCAAAAGTTTCCCCAGTCGGTCGAGGTCAGGCCAGGCCAATATGATCAAACTACAGTCTTCCCCCCAATACAACGTACGGTCATTATAGTGGTATGAATTTGGGGTATCTTTCGGTCTAAATGCAGCTATAATGACCGTTCGTTGTATTCGGCGGAAGAAGGTAGGATTAATTCAAGGGTTAATTTAAAACATATTGCTGTTTCAAAAAAAAAAAAAAGAACAACAAAAAAAAAAAAACCCAACGCTGAGTGCCCGAGGCCAGAACGCTGAGTCCCTGAGTCCCTGAGTCCCTGAGGCCAGAGGCCTAGGGGTAGTTTGCTGTTAAACTGAGCAAAACGCGGTATTTTTTTTTTTGCAGGCAAACTATGGGAAGCCGACAAAGCTGCAACGAAACCTCTTTTTTTTTTTTTTTCCTTTTTTTTTTTTATGTCTTTGTTAAACCCAAAGACTGCAACTGGTTAAGTATACATTATTCCGCGAGTGATGAGTTAACCCGGCCGGCATACCCATATGCCGGAAAAAATCCGTGTGACTGTCTGACGAAAAAAAAAAAAAAAAAAAAAACCCTCTATTTTTGCAAGGGAAGCTTCGAACGGACGACATTTTTTTGCTGCCAAACTTGGAAGGAGCAATATTTTTGCTATTAATCCTTAATTGAATGTCAACAACTTTAGCAGGTGTACACATCGACGTCACAGACAGCACCACTCCCTCCCTGCTGCGTCGCCCTCCTTCCCTGACATCAGCGTGCTATCGACGTCGTTATCGCTGCTTTCAAAATTGCTCAGCTGTTTCAGTGAGTAATCCCAGCCCAGAGAATCAATCTGATTCTGCTCCCGTTGATTGAATTGGGAGTTCTCTGATCGACGGCCCTCGCATCTCCAGCACACACCGAGGTGCCTCCTAGAAGAAGAAGGCTTGAAGAAGGCTTGAAGAAGGCTCGAGGAAGAAGGCTCGACAGAGCTGTGGTCGGATCTCATCAAGTATTATGTAGGACCAACACGCATCAGGACGGAAAGTTGTCCCAATTCAAAGCGATCGCCATGCTAGCGCCGCCAGAAAGATGCCGATGTGTCCGCGCGCGTCGGCGGTTCGGAAAACTACCTTCTTCCCCCGAAGACAACGTACGGTCATTCTAGCAGCTGTATTGAGGCATCTTTCAGTCTAGATACAGCTGTAATGACCGTACGTTGTATTCGGGCGCAAAAACAAGCGCAAACGGTCAGCAAAGCCACCAAGAGCGCTCTAACCACCACGGCAGGCTCTCCTACTTCTTTTTTTTTTTTTTTTTTGGGAAATCTCTCCTACTTCCCACTTCCCTCTACTAGTTTTCCCAAATTCTGAAATTCACATAATTAGCAACTATTATTAGCTAAAAAAAAAAAAAAAAAAAAGCAACTATTACTAGTTCGAAGATTCTGAAATTCATAAATATATCAGTATTATAATAATTATGATGAAGATTAACCAAATTACCCTCAGTTGAAAGTGTTTTTCTTACTTAAAAATTAAAAAAAAAAAATTACCCTCAGAAGTCTGCACCTTGGGGACGCTTGAAGAATCTCAACGCAAATCCATCTATGAAGTCTCATCGCAATTCATAAAAACTGCCGATTCCAATGTCCAACCTGAGATCAAGCCCAGCTTCCGTCAAAGGGACAAAACGAAGAAAGAGCGTTGGGAAAAAAAAAAAAARAAAAAAAAAAGACAAAAGAAAAAAAAGAAAGAGCGTTGCGGTGTTCCTCCTACGCCTCGATTTCCTTCTCCTACTACTGCCACTTCTTACCCGTCTTCTACTGCTACCGTCTTCCTCCGAACATAACGTACCCTCAAAATGAACGTATACAAGGTATGTTTCCGGCCCGATACAGTCGAAATGAGGGTGCGTTGTGAGTTCGGGGGAAGAAGGTAGTGTAGTATTACTTCGGGCAGGCTGTTTGTGGGTGAATCTGGCCGTCGAGTCCGCGTCGAGTACTCGCGCTATTCAGCTCGACCACATCTAACACGAATTTGTGTCAATTTTGTGGAGAGATTCATTTTGAATTCGAGAGAGCACTCACTAATAAGGGCGAACACATCGGTGGAAGGGCTACCGTCTTCACCCGAATAGAACGCCCGGTCATTATCGCCGCATCTGGACCGAGAGTTGTGCCAAATACAGCTATAATGACCGGGCGTTCTATTGGGGTGAAGAAGACGGTAGTCGCTGGACGATGCCAACTAATGTCTCAGAGACAGGGAGAAAATGATCTCCCCTACACCGCTGTCTGCTCCTCCCGGACGTCCGTTAAAACTGGAACGGTATAGAGAAGATCAGCATGGTCCCTGCGCAAGGATTGACGAAAAAAAAAAAAAAAAAAAAAAAAAAAAACCGATCTCCCCTACCATCGCTTCGGTTCTGCTAAAGAGTACGACGGCAAAAAGGCTTTTTTTTAAACACCCCCAAAAAAAAAAAAAAAAAAAAAAAAAAAAAAAGGGGGGGGGGG